CACGCACACACACACACACACACAGCATTTCTGGCGTGCAGGGTAGACATTTTGTATGTGAAAATGTTGTTATACAGTTAAGTAAATTAAATTAGTTGAAGTAAAATTCTTACCATAGAGAAAGGCTTCGATCAGCTATTAGTAGTATCCCTGTCAGAAAGGCCAGCTTAACTACAGTGTTTGATGATTTAACTAAGTCGATTCCTCTGAAGTTACTACTTCCCTCTGACTTGAAATGCTATTATGTACAGCTACATCCATAAAAATCACAGTATTATATTCTCTTACTTTTACTTGCTACATTTTTCTCCACCTGCAGTTAGAGCGAATGTTGGAGGGCAGTGCAGTTCGGGCCCAGAAGCAGCTGGTGTTGCTGCACAGGGAGGATGGCCCGCAGCCCAAAGGGACGGCCGAGTGGCTCAACATGCGGAGCTGGATCTCCAGACACCATCACCTGTCCTGCCCCCGCAGGGTCTTCTCCAGGCGCAGTTTACCTCAGCTGGTATTAAACCCCGACTCACTCAAGTCTGTTATTGAGCAATTCTAGCCAGTTTGCAAATGCTTAACACCTGCTTTTGTTTGTGATCTCCAGAGAGAGTTGTACCAGCGTGTGTTTGAAAAATGTCCAGATCGTCATTCTGACTTCTCCCGTTTGGCCAGGATCCTGACAGGAAACAGCATCGCCCTTGTATTTGGTGGAGGAGGTGCCAGGTACTGACGTTTTGAACACACACACATTTAAAACACTAACATGGTGAGATTGAGTCTCAGGAATCAAACATATACCCCTTAATTTGGTACTTTCACATATTACCTATGTTTTTGTCCAGTTGACAAGTGTAAACATTGAGTTTGCAATGGATTGTGTTAGGTGTTCACATTGTTTTTTTAATATTTTATAAGCCATCAATAACCATAAATAATTTTAAACACTGCATCTATCAAGCATCAAGCAGCAGCATCACTGGTGAAAAACAAAAATGGATACAGAAGAGGCCACCACCGAGAATCAGCCATAATGATGTAGTAGACATTGGGATATAGGCTACACTCTGCAAGTACTTTGACTTTTAATGTGGTACTTTTCCCATAGTCTATTTCTGTCAATTTATTTTTCCTTTTTTTTATGTACTTCCACTGGCTGTTACCACATTTTGTTTTGTTCACAGATGAATGTAGCTGCATCATACATTTTGTATTGTAGATTTTGTGATTTATTTCTTTAGAAATATTGTATTTCTTATGGTGTTATTCAATTAAATCTTGGATAAATTAAACCTATATCAGCATCAGTCCAGTAGAGGACAGCACTGGAGGACATGTGAAAAATGTCATTACGTGTAAAGCATATAATTATCTGTTTTAACTTTTTGTTTATTTAAGTATTAAAATGAAACATTAGAAGAGGAAAAATGGAACCTTCATGCATAACTATCAATACAGCCAGTAACCATCTGATAATCAATTTAGATTAATACATGATATGTATAATATGGACATTCTGATTATTTCTGTTTCCTTTTCTCTCTGCTCCTGTTTGTCCTGGAGCTCTGATGAGGTAGGGACTTTGTTCCTCTCAGTTATGACCTGAGACACCTGGTAGTTTATGACCACATCAGATAAAAGATGCTCTCCTAGCCTTCTTTGTACATAGCTGTACCTATCTGTGCACATGTGGCTCTGTATTTTTAAGTCATGTAACATATGTAAATAATCTTTCAATTACATACTCGTATCTATTTATTGGGATTTGACACATTATTTCTTCACAAAATCATAGAAAAATATCAAACCTCACTCCACTGGGTTTTTATATAATGAAGATAATCCAACTGTGAATATGAGACTCAAGGACTTGTTAAAATACAATTTTACTTAAAAGGTATCAGGTATATGTGTGATATTTGTTTTGATGGATCTCTTTTCAGGGGTTGCTCTCAGGTTGGAATCCTACGGGCATTGAACGAGGCAGGGATCCCCATCGACCTGGTGGGCGGCACCTCCATCGGCTCTTTAATGGGAGCTCTGTATGCTGAGGAGAAGAGCTACAGTCGCTTGAGGGTTCGGGCTAGAGAATGGGCTATGGTGTGTTTAGATCACAATGACGATATTAAACTTATGTTCAAAACTGTTTCTCACCCGGTTTGAAAAAAAATGAATTTCTGTTGCTAAATCTTTGTCAGTAATAGAAAATGGTTGTAAACCAAGTTATTATGACCAACCTTTGTTATGATTCTGTTTCAAAGTTTACCCTTGTTTGCCTGCAACATGTTTTAGCAGCTATGATTTTACCGATCAGTATATTACCTTTTTTTAACTTACTTTCGTAACTTCCCTCCTTCTCCAGGACATGACCTCATACTTTAAGAAGATATTGGATCTTACCTACCCAGTTACTTCCATGTTTTCTGGAGCATCCTTTAACTCCAGTGTTAGCTCTGTCTTCAAGGACAAACAGATCGAGGTAAGATTAAGGCTTTCTTTAAAATATGTTTTTTAACCTCTCAGCTGCCAGTAATATTAAGCCGTTGATTTATGCATCTAAAAGTTTCACATTATTTACAAAGAGCTAGAGCTTAGCAGTTAGGCAGAGCAGATTTTTACTGGAGATCTAAATTGTTCCAAACCACTTCATTAACTTGGGGATTCTGTGATTATTGTCTTATTATATTAAAGTGTTTACAGTCATGCTCACAAATGTTGCTTTGTCTTTCTTCTCCTAGGACCTGTGGCTACCGTATTTTAACATCACTACAGATATCACAGCTTCCTCCATGAGAGTACACACTGACGGTCTGTCACACTTTTATTTCTACTTTGAAAAATGACATCAACATTTGATATATTTCCATTATCCCTAATGAATCCCTTTAGACTTGAGTGTGTAATTGACTGTCCCAAAACGGAAATGCTCTGTTCAATTTAATACACGTTAGACAAAATGACAAAATCCTTGCAGGTAGTGAAATCTACAAAAACTTTGAAACAAATCTACACATAGAGCTGAAGATTTGAAGATTTTTTTACATTTTCAGATATCTGTCAACCAGTCAATTATACCACTACCTCTCTCCTGCTTAGGCTCGTTATGGAGGTATGTCAGGGCCAGTATGTCATTGTCTGGTTACCTGCCCCCTCTGTGTGATCCTAAAGATGGACATTTACTCATGGACGGGGGCTACATCAACAACCTGCCTGGTGAGAAGCTCTGTTCCTGTTTCATATGAGAGAAAATGATATAAAAATCTAAATCAAAATTTCTGTTTAAAAAACATGAAACCATTATTTTTGTTTGTTAGCATGTTGAAAGGTATGACTGACAAGATTGATGAAACATTTTCTTTTATGGATACATTAGCTTCCCCCCAAAATGTTGTAGAAACGATTAGAATGTTCTAATGAACTCATTCAACCTTCTTAATCAGGCCTTATACACTTTAAAAAATAATGCCCTTCGACTGCTCTACCGTATGAAGTGGTACATTGTCTTTGGTAGTAATGTATGCGTATATAAACGTCAATTTACACTACACGCAAATCTTTGGCCCTAAAGATGCACCTTTTGAAGCCTGGATAGCTCAGCCGGTAGAGCATCAGACTTTTAATCTGAGGGTCCAGGGTTCAAGTCCCTGTTCAGGCG